GTCTATACAGCTGCATTTGTTCGCACTGTGCAGGGTGCAGCCTTACTGTGCAGGAGGCAGCCACGTGTCATGCATCGCTGGTGACAGCCATTGCCTGCTGCTGCTGCTGCTGCTGCTGCTGCTGCTGCTGCTGCTGCTGCTGCTGCTGCTGCTGCTGACAGGTGTATGGGCGGCAGCACCACGGCGAGCCTGTCAGCTACAGCAGGGTCATCCGCCAGGTGCAGCAGCAGGGAGGCTTCAAGGGCTTCTACACAGGCATACTGCCAGAGTACTGCAAGGTGGTGCCAGGTGTAGCAATTGCGTTCTGCACCTACGAGCAGCTCAAGAAGTGGCTGCAGGCGCAGTAGCACAGTGCCCTCAAGCCGGCAGGGTGCCAGTGCCACACCTTGCAGAGGGTGTGTGTTGAGGCACATCATAGCGAGACGCGAGAGAACACACATTGCCTGCTGCACTAGCAGCCTACTTCAGGCTGCCAAGTGCAGAACTGTACCCTCTGAGTGGCTGCTGTGCTGACACGTGTGAGTGTGTATGCCTTTTTGCTGACGGCATGACTGTGTCGACTTGGCAGGAGCTCTGGCAACTGCTCTAAGTAACGCGGCGGCCGCAGCTGCTGTTGCTGCTGTGAGGCCAGTCGCTGGTGCTGCATGCTGCAGGGGTGGTTGTATGTACTTGTGCATGTGCACAGATGTTGTGTACTGTTGACTTGTACCTCCTCTGCTTGGTTTTGTGCAGCTCTGCATTCACCTGTAGCTCTTGTGTTGTTCTGTATTGCTGATGTCGGCAGCAGCACCGCTGCGATGCTTCCGCACAGGAAGAGCTAGTGCATGGCCAGCTGACGCAGCGCGCCAGATGCAAGCGGTGCTGTGCAGTCGTTATGGCAACACTTCAGGCTCAAACATCCGTCGACTGGCTGCTTTTTGAACAAACACCTGGGCCAAAGCATTGCCTGTTTACCAACCATTGATGTACATGCATGTGGCATGCAGCTGTGACAGCCTGGAGCAGTGCAGATTGTTGTGAAAGGTTACCGACGCTATCATCACTGCTAAATGCTGGAAGCATGTATCACAATATGCAGTACGGCGGTCTGGGCCTTAAGTCTCTGAAAATGGCCAGGCGTTGCATGTTGGGCTGCTGTTGCGGTGCTGCCATCTATGTTTGGCAGCCAAGCTGCAAGTTTTGGTTTGTTCATGATAATCACACTCTGAAGCGGAAGGAAGCCTGCATCTTACTGAGGTGCTGAGCAGCGGTTGGTGGACAAGCACTGTTATAGCCCAATGAGATCTGGGAAGACTTAAATTTCCATGCCTCGCATCATGCATAGCAAAGCAATGTGCGGCCACCAGGGGTAGTGGGTAGCAGTAGAAAGTGGTGTAGTGTAGTTATATTGCTATGTTGATATCACAACACTATGATACTCTTCTTGTTATGATTCTCCACTACTCAGTACCCCTCAGGGCCTGGTGGTCACCAGCACAGCGTTCTGCATGTTAGTGCCGTTTCACAGCCCAGAGATGAGCTGCTGTGCAGTTCATTGGTGGTCATTATCAGTGCAGGTAGTGGTAGAGCAACTAGCAAGGAGAAACAGATCCTTGATGCAAAGCCAGTTCGACATGGTGGGGGCTCCATCCTGGCATGTGAGTGCTGCACTGCAGCGATGTGCTTTGCAACGTGTGCTTTCCTGCATCTATCTGACAGTGCGGGTCCGAGAAGAGCCTGTCCAACCAGCCACCATTCAATAGGGAACTAAGTCAACGAGTTGTGGAGTACAAGGACACATACAGGCATGCGGTTGCACGGCCCGGCACCCAATACAAAGTTTATTACAAACAGGTGGATGACTGTCAGTTACGCAGGGTTCTTGACATGCAAAACCGTGACTCTTCCTGTGTTTCCGAGAAGTGTCCATCAGGCACCTGCAGGGAACTTGATGGGCGCCGAGGCTTCGACTGGCCGGCATCGCTGCTCACGCCCCTGCTGTTGTAGGCCGGCTGGCACTCTGTCCCTCGCAGCACCGTGTGGCTGATTGGTTAGTTTGTCTCATATTGCTTGTGTTGTGAAACGCGTCACAATCTCAAGGGCAATTGGGTGGTTGCTGCCGACCAACCACATTTACCCCCTTCCCAGTTGCTTGGCATCAACTTCTTGATAGTCCTCATCAAGACTCTGGGTGGCTCAGACGTGTTCACATAGCAGTTGAGTTGAATAATCACGAGCAGTGGGAGGCCAAGAGCGGCAAGTGCTGTCAGGCACGGTTGCAGTACCAGCCAGGATCACCTGCACTGTCAGCAGCAGAGTGGCACAGCAGCGTCCACCACCACTCTGCAGCAGTGGCAGCATGGCGCCGTACTACGCCAACAACGCCTTTCCTGACAAACCTGAGGTCAGGCGGAAGAGCCAGAAGGTGTTTGTGGACCGTGCCACAAATGATGTCATCCTGAGGCTCCATGAAACCGACATTGTCCGCGTCCGGCCAAATGGTGATGTTGTCCTGTCCACTGGCGGTTGGGCCACCCACAAGACCATCCGCAGCATGAATGACGCTCTTGAGCTCTTTGACATGTATGCGGACAGCACCAGCGGCCATGTGCCTCGTGGCGACTGGGTGGTGTATGACACAGACGGGCACATCTTCCCCTACCCAAACAACAAAGTAAACGTGTCAACCACCGTACCGGGCAGGGGAGATGATGCATACATGCGGGCACAGTGGCTGGCAGAAGCGTATGAAGTGCCTTACACGCCAACTCCCAGGCGGGCACCGCCAGCAGCACCTAGACCAGCAGCGCGGGTGCTGAGCGCGCCGCCGGCACCACTCGCGACGCCAGCAGCAGGGCGTGCACCGCCAGGCGCAGGGCGTCCAGCAGCAGCTGCCGCAGCACCTGCAGGAACATCTGTGCCAGTGCGGCAGCAGCAGTCAGCTCAGCGAGCAATGCCAGGAACAGGCAGCTGGGCAAACATTGCCAGGTCAGGGCTGTCTCCGCCCACACGGCCACCTGTAGTAGGTGAGTGGATCGGCTGGATTGACATACGCCAATAGTAACATTTCCTGGTAGTGAATTTTTTCGCAGTTGGACAGCCTGCTGCAGGGTTCAGACTCCAGTTGAGGAATCAGCAGCTGTGGCGCTTGTGCCGCAGTAGGGCAATGCTGAAGATCAAGCAGAGGCTGTGGCTGCAGTTGCCTTGTCGTTGCACTGATTTGATGATGCCAAAGCCCACAGGGTGTGCCGTAAGTTCAGCATGAGCTAAGGCTGGTGTGCACTGACCAGGAGATGATGGCCAGCAGCAGCAGCAGCAGTGTTCATGGGCAGGTTCTGCCTGCTGCATGAATGCGCACTCCCGGCACAGCTTGTGGTGAGGCAAGCCACACCCACGTAGCACCCAACGTTGGTAACTCTGTCTGCGCTGCTGTGTCTTCTGCCTGCAGCCCCGCAGCATGCACCCCATGCTCAAATGATGGGCCCAGGAGCATTCCCAGCAGCAGCAGCAGCAGCAGCAGCAGCAGCAGCGCCAGCAGCAGTCGCTTTACCAGGCAGCAGCTTGCGGGCTCTGGATGTAGCACGCAGCAAGATGCAGCAGCAGGATGTGGGTTCACAGCAACAGCAGCAGCCGGCGCTGCCTGTTGCTGAGCAGCTGCAGGCCCACATGAAGCAGCTAGGCATCCATGATGATGAGCTCGAAGATGACACGCACCTGTGTGTGGTGTGTATGGAGCACCCGCGGAACATTGTGCTGGTGCCGTGCGGGCACATGGCGCTGTGCAAGGAGTGCTGCTCCACAATCATAACAGAGCAGAAGAAGGCGTGCCCTATGTGCTGCCAGCGTGTTGAATATCACGTGGAAGTGGAGTAGCTTGTTCCCCTTGTGAAGCTGCAACGGCATGGGTGTAGCAATGCCGTGTGGCGGGTTGCAATGGCAGCAACGAATTGAGTTGCTTCTAATGATTGTAGCTGCCAGTCCAGTGGGTGCCGATGACACAGGCAGTGCAACCGGGCATGTTGCGCAAGATGAAAGGGTGTGTGCGACGCTGGGAAGTGTCCGCAGTGCTGCTGCTGCATGCTGAGCTGCTGTCACAACTGCTGAACTGCTGCCGCAAATGGCGTGTAGCAAGCAGCAGCGCTGAAGGTGGCATGTGACACTTGCTGGCTTGCCAACATCATGTTGGCTGCCATGATGGCCGTGACGGCTGTAGCAAGTGCCCGGGCTCATTGATGGGTGTCGCACACTCAACGCCATTCTGCCCATCAAGCAGTTCACAACAATGTTGATGTTGTGCTGGAAAGATTGCAGAGCATTGGACTGGGGTGGACATCTTGACAAACGGCATCACTGCGGGGCTGCAGTGCACGGCAATCTGCAGGCTGGTTGGCACCACAGTTACAAACCCTGCGTCCATGTAATTGGCTGCAGGATCCATGTGCATGTGTCAGCTGTGCCTATGTGTTGATGGCACATTTAGACTACAACCGCCCTTTTCACCAAATTTGCCGTGGTGGTGCCAGCACACTAGGCAGGCTGTTGGCCGCGCTTTGATGGGTACAGCGTGCTTAAGAACCAGCTTGTGTAGAGGGTTCCAGCAAGTCCCAGCTGACCGCTGCACATCTGATCTTGCGATACAATACACTTCTGCCCTTCAATTCTCTGCGCTACAGGTATGTTTGGATATTTGAGGCCTTGCTGCAGGAATGCGTGCCTGCATGGCAGCCCACTCGGAGCACCAGGAGAACTTGGGCGGGGGTCTCCTGGTCCAGCATTGCTTGAGGTGCGCAGTTTTTTGCATTTACCTGGAGCCTAGGAGCCGTTTAAAACTCGTCCTATTACAATACAATACAATACAGTAGTACAGGACTGAACCTGCCTCAGGCACTAGCCCAGCGAGCCGTTGTTCCGCTCATGAGGGTTTCTTGTAATTGTACCCAGTTTCTTCTTCACTATTTGGGCGATCGAAACCACCCGCACAAATCCGTCAATGCCAGTTGCTTTTTTAGCCCAGGCACGGGCGGTTGGATCGGGATTTGAACCCGGGTTTCCACATGCTGGTGTTCTACCACTGAACTACCTAACCTTGCATCAGGTGGCAGTGCTGAAGATGGCAGCATTCATTGCATGCGCACCCGTCTGAAAACCCTCCAGGGTATAGCAGCTGACTGGCCAGGCACTGCCGAACCCCGAGTGCCTCCAACTGCTCACAGCCTGTGTTCCTCGCAACATGAGCAACAACAGCGAATTCAGTACTGTGCGGGCAATCTCCTCTTCAACTGCTTAGGCATTCAACTGACAAACTCCACCCTTACGCTGATAGCTGCATACCACACTGTGAATAAACATAGTCATACTTTTATAGTTCCAGACATTAACTACGACAATGGCCAGGACAGGTGGGCACGGAGTGTCGGAGTGCAGTATACGAGCTGGACGGACTGCCGCTGCTGCTACAGGTCAACTCAGAAAAGCAACACTACGCTGGATATATGCAACTCAGCTGTCGGGCACCAGCCAAGGCACAATGATCTCTTCAGCACTCCAGCATCAATTGCTGCTGCTCCTGTATGTGCCTGCCCCTGCTGTAGATCTATCTGCTTTTGCACTTCTGGAGCATGCGGACGAGGATGGCTATGTCCAAAATACAGATGAAGTACGTGACTTGGTGGAGTCATCAAAGACAGCAAAAGCAGCAAAAGCAGCAGCAAAGACCAAGCAGCAGGCGAGCAAGGCTGGCAGTAAAGCAGCAGGCAACAGTAGGACCAGCGGTACGGGGGCTGGAACTTCACGCTCAACAACCACTCAGCACAGCGACACTGGTGGCAAGCAGGCCCGTGCGGAGGAGTACTACAGGGCCTTTGAGCATGTGTACAAAGACACAACATCAGGTGTGGACTGGATCCAGCTGCTGCCTTGACTGCAAGTGTACTGGTCAGCAACACCCACCACGGTTAGCAGCGAGGCTAATGGTCAAGTTGCAAGGGCTAGCCGCTGCAAGGCACCTGCTGTGAGGCATGCAGCAGTAAACCGGTAAGCCATGTGTTCACCTGCATCACGGCCGGCGCTGCCAAGACAGTTGTGTGCCGCTGCCCTCCACCCTGTGGTGCTGCTGTCACAACACCACAGGAGAAGTGGTATTGCGCTTTCACAAGACCAACATCGTCAGGGTCAAACCCAATGGGGACGTCATACTGAACACAGGTGGGTTGGCATGCAGGTGCTGGCCTGCAGACCGTGGGTGCTGGTCACAACTTGCAATCGCAGGGTGATGAGCGTTGCAGAACACGGTATGCTGCATATAAGGTCAGCACACTTGAAGCACCATGCTCAGTATGTGCCGTTGCGTGTGTGTGTGTGTGTGTGTGTGTGTGTGGTGGTGTGTGTGTGGTGTGTGTGTGTGGTGTGTGTGTGTGTGTGTGTGTGTGTGGTGTGTGCGTGCGTGGTGGTGCGTGCGCCGCCCTGTGCAGCAGCAAGCATTTTGTCCACAAGCACAGGCTGTGCAGCAACTTGCACGCGCCTGCTTGCAGGGTGCATGCTGGTGGGTTGTCAGCCCGGCCGCACAGACATCTTGGCGTGCACATCAACCAGGTCGCAGTGTTCAGTGAATCCTGTGTAAGCTTTTGCTGCTGCGTGCGCTGTGCAGGGGGCTGGTTCACCCACACCACGCTCGCCGCCATGAATGACGCGCTGTACGCCATGGGCTTGAAAGTGGCTTACGCGGGCCAGCCAGCTGCCGGCTCCTGGTCAGTCACAGACGACACAGCACGTGTGCGGCCTTACGAGGATGAAATGGTGATTCCTGCAAGCCGGGCAGAGCACAAAACAGGGGGCAGCTGGTACTCAGTGCATACGCAGGTGGTGCGGAGGTGCCAGTGTACGCGGGCAGGAGCAGGCAGCCGGCACAGCGCAGCCTGCAGCAGCGAGTGCCAGGCCTGCAGCAGGAGCAGCGGCGGCAGGGGTCAGCAGGGGCGCCCTGCAGCTGCAGGTGAGTGTGGGGCGCTATTGAGGGCTTTGACTGCCAGGTGGCCAGGTGCTGACCTTGCAGGTGTATGCTGCATGTGGGAAGTGGCAGGGCACATGCCGTGCTTGTAGCGGTTCCAGGAGACGTGCCTCTGGCGTGTGCGGCGTGCCGCGCTTTGCAGTTCAGCAATTCGCTGCGCTGCATTTACTGTCATTGCTGCCATCAAGCGTGGCTGCCAACGTGCTGCCGCCTGCAGGCGCATCATATGCGAGCGCCGCGCACGCTGCACACCAAGTACACCAGCAGCAGCAAGTCTATGCAGCAGCAGCGGCGCAGCATCGGCCGGCAGGCGGCAGCCACGTGTGCGCTGCGCGCAAAACCGTGCACGAGCAGTTAGCAGAGGCGGTGGAGCAGTTGGGTTTACAGGATGAGTTGGCGTGCGGCGACGACCATCTGTGTGTTGTGTGCTTGGAGCACCAGAGGGATGAAGTGCTGGTGCCTTGCGGGCACATGGTGCTGTGCAGGTTCTGCTGCCAGGACATCATGCAGGACAGCAAAGCGTGCCCTGTTTGCAGGGAGGTCATTGTAGACCACTGCACGCTGGAGCCCATGAGGTGTAGGGTGCAAGGCATGGATGTGGCACTTTGCTTGGATGCTGTTGGGGACTTGATGGAGCAAAGTATGCAGGACAGCTGTTGGACACTGTTTCTCCTGGTGTCACTCAGAGCATTTGCTGCGCTGTGTTGATTACAGTGCAAAGTTGTGGTTGCCCTTTTCAGGCAGTTCGTCCCAGTGATGACGCTGTTGGTGCAGATGGCGAGGAGCACGATGATGTTGAGGATGCAGCAGCAGCGGCAGCAAAGCAGGCCACCTCATTGAATTAGCTTCAGCAGGGCAGACGTGCATTTGCAGTTTGGTTGAAGTTCAGCCAGGCAGGAGGTGAGGATGCAAATGGCGGTGCACCTGGGGTTCATAAGAGGCATGGGCAGATGTACAGATCTGTTTGGTCCTGTGGTGTTGAGTGGCCCTGTTAAGGACAGATGTCGGCAATGCATTGACTGCACGTAAACCCATGACAGTGCTGCATGCTGCATCATGTTCACAAGCATGAATCATGTCATGGCAGCTCTGCTGGTGTATTGTATGTGCCGTGTACAGTGTGATGTAGGCTTATTGTGCAGCAGATGAAGGGTGCATGTTGAACTACTGGATAGAGCACATACTCAAAGAAGGGGGTGGATCATGAACGCCCCATGTGAAGGCATGTCGTTGGCCAAACCCTACTGAACTTGTGTCTGGGCCACCTATTCGTGTGCTGGGATGACAGCAAGCTGAAAGTGCCATACATTAGATGATTTTTCACCTTCAGTGTGTAAAACCAAGCACCGATGCGTCAACAGTCTCAACCGAGATTTCGCGGCCAGCAAGTACGCAAGTCAAAATCACCCTAAATGATAGACAAACACAGCTACAAATCCCTAAAAGTACAGCTAGAATCCTAGTTCTTTGGGGCCATCACAGCAGACGAGCGTTCGACGTGCACAAGCAGGGCAGCAGCTCCCACCTAGGCCAAAAGGGCACAGTCTTGGTCCTGGCAGGTTGTGGAGGTGGACCATGCCGCAGTCTACGCAAACACAGCAGCAGCTGTACTCACATGCCGCTGAACCAAAGGCAGTGCAGCAAAGGCGGGCAAAGGTGAGCAGCAGACTGGCCTGACCATCAGCATATGGGGCTGAGTCTGCATGGACAGGCTGCCTGCTCTTGTTCACGGCTGTGCAGCAAACTTCAATGTATACGCTACGACTGGCTTGCAGCAGTTCTTGCTGCCCGTGGCAGTGTTGGCAAGCCCTCTGCACATTTGGCAGCAGCCTGCCAACATCATGCTGGAGCACACCTACCTTGGGCGCGGCAGCTGTGGCATCAGGCACTGCAACAGTTTGGGGTGTGCTGCATGTTGCAGTACCGGGAAGATGATCCATCAGCTATTTCAACCAACATCATGTTCGACCGGCGCGTGGTGCGCGGCAACACGTACGCGGCACGCGTCTTGCCAGCAGAGCCAGTGCTGCACCTCACTTCCAAAGCAGCAGGCTCGTCAGCAGCGGCAGCAGCGTGAGTACAGTTCCTGCCACCTGTCACATACCTGCTGCAGGGCATGCCCGGCAGTTGCTTCCTGCAAGTCCTGCAGTTAAGCATCTCCTGGCAGCTTGCTGCTTGTTGCAGCTCAAGCGAAACACATATGTGTGAATATGCACCCCACAACCTCCCCTCTGCATGGCAGTTGCTGTGCTGTTCAGTGCACGACTCCCAGCTGCTGCAAATGGTGCACGTCTAGCTCATCCTGGTTGAACTTGAAGGCGCTGCATTGGTGTTGTGTGCTGCGATCTGCAGGCGACGAGCACCAGGCAGGTCCAGGGCCATCCCGACTCCTGAGCCTGTGGACGGACGGCGTCACATGGATGTGCAGGTCAGCAGCAGAGCAGGCTAGGCAGCTGTTGCAGCAACACTGGCAGCTTGCCGCGCAGCAGCTGCAGGCAGCAGAAGTCAGCGGCCTGACGTACTCACAGCAGCTGCGCTGTGCAAGCGTTGACACGGCATGGGCCTTGGCTGTCTGTGCGCTTTAGTGTTATGTTCATCACAGCCTCTGGCTTGAAGTGCTGCTGCTGCTGCTGCTGGTGGTGGTGGTGGTGCTCCTGCAGACTGATGTATACCTGGAGGAGCTGACTGATGTAGTGCCAGAAGCAGACACCACTACACAGACAGACGCATTCCTTGACAGGCCGCCAACGCCGCAGTTTGTGCCTACCAAGTCGGGCTTGGATGCAGCTACACAGATAGAGCAGGGTAAGGGCATAGCGCTTTTGTGCTCGCACATGGCTGACAGCAGCAGCAGCGACCTGCAAGTAGTTCTGCATGGTGAGGCTACACCGGAGGTTGGCAATATATAGCTGCAGTTCTTGAAGCTACGTCGGGTGCAGCAGCGTGTCTACCGTTGTTCAATCACAGTAGTGCAGCACTGCAGGGTCTCACAGTACTCAGCCTGGCGCTGCACGCCTGTGGCATGTACATGCCCTGCAACCCTTGATCCGGCCCCTGCCTCAATCTGTCAATTCAGCCCATTG